AAAGTTTAAGTCATATACGTCCTGCAAAATTCAGTGGTTGGTTTTTTTATTAGTGACAATTTTATTCATTTTATAAAGGACCACGTTCCTCATTCCAATGTTTCCATTCATCAAAAGGGGGAAATATGTTTACTTCAAACTAATAATTCTTATTTTGTATAAATTGTTATAGAGCTTTGGCGCCAATGTATATTTATCTCTTGTATTGCAAAACTGAGCATGCTACCTCCTCATTTAAGACTCCTCGTTAAGGGAACTGAAGTTTCGCTCCCTTGAACTGTGTTACCAATAATTGGTCTGCCTATCCCTTGATGTGCCATTTAAGTTTTATTCCAGGAAGACCTAGCGCAAATAGTTGCCTTCCCTCAGAGTTTACTTAAGAGCTCAAAGGGGTTAGCTTCAAGTTGAAAGAAGACCAAAAACTTGGTCAACTATTTCCGGATCATTCTTGATTTTGACTTGCTTTGTTGCTAGGGGACAATTTTTTATATCATAATAGGATAGACGATACTCATGATGGTGATTGTTATGATTGCCCCTTTAGGCATGTAGCAGTTATGCTTTCAAATATTTACCTGTTCATAGATGAAATGCTGGATGTGAAGTAATTTGTATATTACCAGGTCTCATTGTTTAATTTTAAATGCAGATACTTGAGAAAGTCAAACTGACATATGATCTTCCTATAGTGACAGATGTGCATGAGAGCAGCCAGGTATCTCCTTGCTCCCTTTTGCTCTTCACTAGTTAGCTTGCATTTACCAAAACATTCGCACGTTTCTAACATTTTTATGTGTAGTTTTTGTCTACAATCTGGTGTTCTTTCTATGGGCTTGATTGTACTTTACTAATTTACCTTCAAATCAGTTCGCTTTTACGATTTCAAATATTGAGTTCATTGACATATAGTGTCCCTGACTGTTCAGTTTATTATGAAGAAAATTTACCCCATATAGCTAGATTGAAGCAATAAGCATTTATGATACTAGTTCCGTATTCAGCTGAATCACAGTTATTTCAATACTAACTCCCTATATGCAGCATGGTACTCATGTTTTCTATCTTGGATCTAATTGTTTGTATTGCTTTGGTGGAAGAAAAATCTTGACTACTGATTCCTGTCACCTGTAGACAATTGTTGACTCCTAAGGCATGTTAAATATAAATACAAATTACTGGATTGTGACTTCTAAACATGCCATGATTAAACTATTGATGATAATCTACTTCAGAAGGAACATGAAAGAAACTTATACCGCATTAAGTTTGAAGTTGGAAGACAATAAACTCAAAAATAGCACCAAAATATGGGAGAGCAGATAGAAACTGAACCTCTTCAATGAAAATAATGAATTTTGCCCGGTTTCCAAATATGGTTTAAGCTATATAGACTTTCTGCTTCTAGTGGTTGAAGAACGAAGAAATTTAGAGGAGAAGAAGAAGATTTAAAGGGGGCTCCGATGAGCTATTTTCCTATTTTTTGTGTGTGTTCAAAGAGTAAATTTCCACTCTTTATATAGAGGCATTTCCTCAACTCCTCTCTACTTCGTTAGGAATTGTCCCAAATATTCTCAGCATATTTTTCTAACCCATCACCCCCACTATCTCAATCCCACAAAAATCTTAGTTCTTGAGACTAAGTTGGGTGATTTGGTCAAATATGGACCGACTCAAGTTAACATCTCCCACTTGACCAAATTAAGCCAAGTGACATGCCTCCCATTATCCGTGAGATCAGATGTTTCTTCTTACCATTACTCTCACTATTCGTAGAGAGTAACTCTTATTTCATTATTCATAAAATTTTACTTGGACTTATTTATTCCTAAGTCCCATCAAACTTATATGTTTAATAAAAAATTCGGCTGGTATTCCTTTTGTCAAAGGACCAACAATCATATTTGTAGTAGGGATATAAGTCACTTTAACTTCTCCTTTTTTCTACAATATCTCTATTATAGTGATACTGAATCTCAATATATTTTTCTTTAGAGCTATTGACACACTATATATCAAGCTAATCGTTACTTGATTATCACAATAAACATTAATAGGTCCTTCTAACAAATTGAGATCTAGATCAATCAAAAATCATCTTATCCAGATAGCATGTGCAGTTGCCATACTATAAGCTACATATTCAATTTCTTGTGTATATAACACCATTGTTTCTTGCTACTCTAAGAAACAACTCCTCCTCCAAAGATGAACAAGTGTCCCGAGGTGGACCTTCTATTATCTTTATCACATTCGAAATCAGCATCGGAGTAATCGAGGAGATCAAGTGAATCGGCTTGAAAAACTAATCTATGAGTCAATGTATCTCTGATGTACTTCATAATCCTTTTAACAACTTTCTAATGTGCTGGTCCTGGATTACTTTGATATTGACTGACTAGACTTACAGCATAAGCTATATCAGGCCTGGTGCACAACATTGCATACATCAAGCTTCTAATTGCTTGAGCACAAGGAATATCTAATGGCGTTTACCCCTCTCCAGGGCTTTGCTCTTTACATAATTTTTTTTTCATGACCAACGGAGTTGGCGCCGGATTGGAATTCTTCATTCCAAACATTTTAAGAACTGACCTTAAATATTTTTTTTGGTTTAACTTAGCATTCTAGACTTTTATTCTATACATTTTATCTCGAATTATTTGAATACCAAGAATATATGATGCATCTCCCATGTCTTTCATCTCAAACTTTTCGCTGATCTGCCTTGATTTTATTTAATATTTCTATGTCATTTCCAGTGAGCAATATATCATCAACATATAAGGATAATATAGTAAATTTACTCCCACTTTTTAAAACATATACATAATTATCTAATTTATTTTGAATAAAACCAAATTTAGTGACCGCATCATGAAATTTAAGATACCATTGTCTAGAATATTTTAAACTGTATAGAGATTTTATTAATTTGTAAATTTTATGTTCCTTTCATTTCACATGAAAACCTTCAGGTTGTTGCATATATATCACTTCCTTCAACTCTCAGTTAAGGAATGTAGTTTTAACATCCATTTAGAATAATTCCAAATCAAGATATGCAACAATAGCCAAAATAATTCTAATGGATGTAATTTTAGTTATAGGAGAATATGTCTCCTGAAAATCTATTCCTGCATTCTGGTTGTAATCATTGGCAACTAACTGTGCTTTAAATTTATTAATAGATCCATCAACACGATACTTTTTAAGCACCCATTTGCATCCTATGGTTTTTCTATTTTTCAGTAGATCACATAACTCTCATACCTTATTCTTTTCTATAGAATCAAGTTCTTCTCTCATGGATTCTAGCCATAAAGCTGATTCATACAATTTCATCGCATCAGAGAAGATTGTGTGATCTTGTTCTTCTATATTTGTATCTACCGAGAAACAGGATGGCTCATATGAATATAAATAGTAATCATCCATCCATGAATGTTGTGTTCTTGGTTTTTTGTTGCCTACAACCAGTTGATAAGGTACATTATTTTCATAGGTATTTCATTATTTTCAAGATTAGGTTCATTCATAATATCAGGATCATTAGTGGGAAGAACTCTGTAATAATCATCATCTATTATAGTTAGAGCTTTTGTTTCCTCTCGAACTTGTTCCTCTTCCTCTAGGTTCTCTAGAAACGCAGCGTCTCTACTTTCAATAACCCTTTTTCTTTATTTTATAACTTCTAACCTTTTGATTTTTCTGAATACCCAATGAATCTACACTTTACTATTTTAAAATCCAACTTATCTCTAAGTTGGTATGAATGAGAACATGAGCTATAGTTCCCCATTTCCTGGGATGACTCAGATTAGGTTTCCTCTCATTCCATAACTCGTAAGGTGTAGACACAATTGACTTGGTGGAAATTCTATTTAAAATGTTGTTTGCAATTAATAATGCTTCTCCCAAAAAATTTTTAGAGAGATCAGAATGAGACAACATGCATCTAACTACATTCAGTAATGTTCTGTTCTTTTTTTCAGCAACACCATTCTGTTGTGGTGTATACAGCATTGTTGTATGCCTTTTAATTTCATACTGAATACAATAACTCTTAAAATTTTTAGAGTTATATTCTCCACCTCTATCGGTTCTCAAAATTTTGATTTTCATTCCAAGTTGGTTTTTAATTTCTGTCTTATATCTCATAAAGCAATCAAAAGCTTCCAATGTTTTAGATATAAGATAGACGTGTGCAAACTTGGAATAATCATCTATAAAAGTAATAAAATATTTTTTATTACTATGAGTTTTGATACTTAGGAGACCATAAATATCCGAGTATATTAATCCTAAAAGTTCATTAGCTCTTTGTTCGCTAATAAATGGTTTTCTAATCATTTTACCAGTTAAACAATGTTTACATGGTGACAATTGAACATTAGATAGTGCTGGAAGTTCATTCTGATAATTTTTTTTATTTTTAAAATATTAGCATGTCCTAGTCTAGAATGTCACAATTCAAACCCAGAAATATAACAGGACAAGTAGTTCAAATTCAAAATTTTATTATCAGAATTATTACAAACTACTGGAAGAATGCATAATTCATGTTCGGGCACATACTTTTCCATAGCTTACTTTTTATTATTTTTACCTATAGAAACTCGGTTATTGTAAAACTTAATTTCCAGTCCTTTTTTCATCGAGCTGGGAACAGGGATCAGATTGTGCCGAATTCCTGGTGCATAGAACACATCTTTGAGGACAAGAACACTATCCCCAAGATCAAATTTATATGAACCAATTTCTTCTACATCGAGATAGGTATTATTTTCCGTATAGATTCTCTGTTCTCCTTTCTTCAGTTCGATGAATTATGTGGCTCCACTCTTGTCCTTTGCGATATGTCTAGTCACATCGGAATCAATCTACCAACCGCTGATATCCGTCATCACAGCATTGCATTCCGTCACACCAATGAATTCTCTTTTGTTAGTACCTCTTTACTCTGGATGCTTATAGCCTCCTTTATTCTCTTGTTTTTCACCTTGTGGGCAAGTGACTTGAAATGCGTGAACTTTTCATAATTATAGCAGGCTCCGCGGGGTACTTTTTTTTCCTTGAATTGTTGTAATTTCGGTCCTCACGGTTGTGGTTTATTAGGACAGTTTTTATAGTTTCCAGCATTATGCCTCTGGCGGACATAATCCAGCTCTTATTGCACCATATTCAGTTCTGACTCTTTCTTACTAGCTAGTAAGTCTTGTTCTATTGCTAAGTGCATAGGAAAATCAGTGATAGATTTAATGACTGGGTTCATTCTTAATGTGGTGGCAATCACAACAAGGGAAGGGGTAGATTATTCAAAACGGTTGCCACTTGCATTCTTTCCAGGATTTCAGTTCTAGCAGTGGATAAGTCCTTAGTCATGACAATTATCTTATTTATATGCTCTACGACATTGTCTCCCTCTTGCATACGACAAGAATTATACTTATAAAAGAGGAGTTGAATGTTAACTTCAGAATCGGTGCCGTATTTTTTTTTCATTCCACATGTCTATGGAAGTCTTATAAGTTTCAAAAATTTTAATCAGTTATCTTCCATGAAGCATTAGACTTTTTGTCTTTTTATCTTTCGACTTTCACTCTTCAAAATTTTTTTTCTTCAAATGTAGATTTATCAGTAAGGGTTGGAGCAATGATTTCGATTATATCATCGAAATTATCATGAATAAGAGCATATCCTATTTTTTATACCACA